CCCCCCCGAGTTTGAATGGCTAACTCTTTCCAGGTGACTTTGTTTTCTCATCGCCTTTGACTAAGCTTTGTTTCATTTCCAGGGTTTGGGGCCCAATCCTGCTCTCCTGGCAGATGCCTGCCCCCTGACGGGGTAAGGCCTGTTTTTTTTTGTTAAAGCAAGCTGGATTGGGCCACTCGAATCCAGGCAGCCACCTGGGTGGCCTGGGGCCACGCTGCTGCTTTCAGCAAAGGACAAAGTGATACCCAGAGCTCACAGAAAACCCGCTGCAGGAGGATGCCCCCTTTTAGGCGGAGTTTTATAAGCTTTAATGCTGGCTTTGATGCACCAAACCCAGTCAAGCACTGGTTTTGGGGTGGGTTTATTGTTTTCCAGACCATCCACTAGCTTTGGTGAACCTTGACTTTCAGAGAACACGAGCAACATTTGCCGATGTACGTGAATTAACCCACCCTGTCAACATCCACATGTATTCCTGTCCAAGAGCTTGTTGCTAGTCCGGGCATACTGTGAAGAATACCTGATAGTTCAAACCAAGATAAGGCCACTGAGAGCTAAACTTGTGTTAGCAACCACCTGGTGACAGTGGGTGCACGGTCCCTTCCCACCGCAGTCTCAGCCCAGTCTAACACATGATCCAGACTTGGCGTGTCCATCCTGCCAGATTGGGTATCTCAACCTGCTCCACTTTCCCTGAATATTTTGCTTTTATCATGAAAATTGGCCTTTTGGGTGATTAGGGCCAGGTCTTGCACTGAAATTTTGTTCCAGCTGAGCTGCAAAACACAGCTCCTACGTGCAACGGGCATTTTCCTCTGTTACAGCCGGTGCTGTGTTGAGAACTGATGTGTCTACATTGCTGGGGGAATTGGTAAGCTACACAGCGCCTAGGAAACTTTCCTGATATAAATATCATGGCAAAGCCTTTGTGCTGTGTACTATTCACGTGTAAACATTTAGGAGCTAAACCGCAAGCATTTTTTTGCTTGTATTTGCCAGTGTTTACGTAGCTCTTTCATACCTGAAGCGTGACAGATTGAAATGACTCCTTCTCTACAGAGGAGTTCTCCGAGCTTGGACTTTGCTTACTAATCCGTAAAAAATCATTTATGCTTGCC